GAAAAATCGCCGATAGTATTGAGAAAACGATAACACAAGCGTAAACATCAATAAAAAATTTCGTTTTACTCAATGAATGCGTAAATCTTCTTCTTATTTTACATAACAGCAGTGCGAAAACCGCAATCATCCGTCATCCTGCAACTTCACTCACTATGCGACCACGGCGCAAAGCTGGCCTGAAACGTGCTCTGCACCCTTCGCTTAATACCACCCCCTCCAACGGCACACCTGCATGTAACCGCAAGTTGGCCGGCAACTGATAGTTCGTAATAATAATTGTTGGGTTTAACGTCCCGAAACCACCATTTTATTATGAGAGACTTCTTAGTGGAGGGCGCCGTAAATTGCGACCACCTGGACACAAGCATTTTCACCTCCGTCAAAAATGTGGCCGCCGCGGCCGCTATTTGATTTCATGACCTGCGGGTGAGCAGCCGATTGCCTTAATCACTATAGGGCCACCCTGGCGAGTAACTGATGGCTCGTCTATCATGAACTATAGAAATCTACTTATATGACTGCATGAGGTCCGTAGCCAGCGACCCGCCTTCCTGTCTATAAACCTGAATTTCGGAATCGGAAATTGGAATCCCCCCTCCCCCCCCCCCCCGGAAATTTGGATGGTCGGGGGGGGGGGGGATGGGAAGGGGTGTTTTGCCGAGAATAAGTAAAACAAAAAACGTTGTTTCTTCAAGGCCCTCCAACAAGTGCCACTCCCCCCCCCCTCCCAAAAAAAGCAATCCTGGCTGTGGCTATGGCCGGCATACAGCCCACAGCTGAAAGAGCTTCATGTTTGACAGCTTCAGCCGTGTCGGGCGACATTACGCGTGCATTCCATCAAGTTAAAACGACGCCGCTTAGTGTCGCATTCGCATGCGGACAAAGCTGTGCTCAGTAGCTGATGAAAATAGCGACGCGCACTGCGCCACCTCGTTTGCGTTATACGCCACCTCCGTTTTCGCTATTCTGTGTCGCGCTACTGCGAGACTTTGCCCTCCGCGCGCCCGAAAGATGGTACGCATAAACAATGTTGTGGCCAAATATGGCCCAGAAAACGACATTTCAATGCCATTAAACGTTATATGTGCGAGCTGAAACCAGAGAGCACATTAGAATCATACAATTTAAAATTTTATGAATTAATGAGGTTTGAATAAACGAGCTTTTACTGTACCTTCCTCTTGAGTGATAGTGGTAAACTACTCTTCTCTTTAAGTCTGTCCTACTCGGTGCTAGACCGCAGAGTACCCAGGGTCAGCGAAACCGTTTCAACAACCACCAAACAGATCTTCAACAACCACCAAACAAAACTGAACAAGAAGGGAAATCTGGGCTAGTTGGTAATAATAGTTCATTTTCAATAACTCACAGCGCAAGAAGGACGCGTACGAAGTACAAGTCAGCGCTCGTGTTGTCTTGTACTTCGTCTGCGTCCTTCTTGCGCTTTGAGTTATCGAAAATAGAAAACAAAAAAAAGAACTGTTTTCAAATTTCCGGCACGCTCACAATGTCGACGTCATTGTCGGGCAGCCCGGCGCCGCGCTCCTCGACCCGCTTCAAAATGAGCCGACGCTTGGTAGGCGACGAGGCGTCGCCGCCCGCGCCGTCTCCCCACACACTCCGGTCGTCGCTTGGTGCACCTTCTACGAGGCCTTTGCTAGAAGCGACCACGCGGGCGCGCGCCGTCCTGTTCGATGACGATGATGTCTTCGTCGTCGAGGTGCGTGAAGGCCGTCCACGTTGTACGGCATCAAGGCGAGCGGCGTCGCAGTCACTATGCGACGACGAATTTTCCGGAGGTGCCTCGAAGGGGTCACTGCTTGGAACCCGCGAATAGAGAACCTCCCCACCGGAGAGTGACGACGTCGGTACGGTGGTCGGCACGCCCTGTGGCACACGGAGGTGATGTCTGTCACTCCATCATGATGGCGAGCCACTCTCTAAAAAAAAAAAGGACATCTTCGCCCTAGGGGTGCCCCACTTGAAGGCATTGCGGAGCTGGGCTTTGTTACTTTTCGGTTTTATTTTAGTCCCCTCTTTCCTTCTTGTTCTCACTTCTAGCTATATTTCTGTCTATTTAATCTGCTAATATTTTTCAGTTCATTCTTTTTCTTTCTCTTCCTCTTATATTTAGTTTGCTTCCTGCTTACATTTGTGTCAAGTTTCTATTGCCGTGTTTCTCTTGGCGCACCTAACGTCATCCTCAAGGCGTTTGAACAACAAGAAGTTCACTGTGGCACGAGGACGTGCTCAATATGCCACAGTTAGCTATGCTACATGTGATTTTGGCTGCGTTAATATAGTCATGAAGGCGCTCGATGATAAAGAGGACAAAAGGCTTGCATTAATGTCATAAATGCTTATGAGGAACAAGAGGAAGAACACTTCTCTTTGGCGTGAACGTGCGCTCAATGCTATATGTATTTTTGCCTGCTCTACGCCAAGCAACGATGACAGCATACTACAACCTGAGTCATCATGTACTTCACCCTGAAATATCTACGTTATTTCTGCCACTGTTGAAAGCAGAGCATTGTTTATGATATGCTTCCTTCGCGTTACGTCGTTTGTGTTCACCTGTGCTTTTATGCTCTTTTCTGGCGCTAGTGTTATGAACGTGCAGCCTGCTTGGTTTCTCTGTATCAAACATGGAACCTGCATCAGGCCAACGCGAGACGCGATACGGCAATTTGGTGGTCCCGTAAACCGCTCCGCCGTAAATATAGTGGCACCTTCGGAGCACCCTTGTGTCCCACAGGAATAAATATCGTCTACCTCATGTGGGCTAACTTGTTTTGACGCGCCACGCCCGGTACTTCCACGTTGGGAACATCGCACACGCAACCATCGTGTCGTACATCCATGCTAAGAAAATGACAACCGCCAAGCTTTTGAAATATAAAATGCCAGCACGCCAAACTATGATTATTAGGACGAAAGCCATAGATGCCTTATCATCACAACCACCGCTTTCCTATGGCATCAAGAACGAGTGAAGCGAAAGATTATCACATGATCACGTAAGCGTATGACGTCACAGGTCGTCAGACTTTGTTGCATCATAACTACGTAATTATGACACCTTCATGACGTTACATGACGTAACCTTATTTCATGATGTCATGAAATGACATGGTAGATTGGTCAAGGTGATCCAATTACTGGAAGGAATGCGAAACCACGATAGGTACAGAAAAATTTGGAGGGGTGGTGGGCCTTGATCAATCTTTTTGCAACTGTCGTAGCTTGCCGCAATATCAAATCATCATGCAAAGTTTGTCGTAGCGATCGTATCGTATACGCTTCTTGACACCCAGTCACTGTTAAACGAAAGACTGCAAAAAAAGGTTGTGAATCACTTTTGTTGCTTTTTTATGCCACACAACACGGTAATAAATTTGCCGTGTTTTCATTGATCTAGTTAACAGCTTCTGGCAATTAATCTGCATTCACGCGATTCACGCGATCTGCTTCACGCGATAGCGGCAATGACACTTAGTCGCCAACACGGGGTTGTAGCCATCGTAACGCGACAGTTCGACGGAGCTATAGTTTATCGCTGTCACTCGGAAATCGCGTGCATGCGGTTGGGCCTTCAGAAGCTGAAGAGATTTTAGAATTCAATCAAACTTCGTGTTTATGAAGTACCAGTATTATTGTTGACAATGTCATCATTGTTTTCGCGGTTGTAGCAGCAGGAGCTTTAGAACAGGCGAAACGAAATCTTGTCTTGCTCCACCCCCGCATGGAAACATACGTCATGCTTGAAACATACGTCTTGCTCCGCCCCTGCGTGGAAGTGTGGGCGTGGAAACATACGTCATCTTCATTTCCTCTGGTCCGGAGCAAGTGTTCCTGTCTTAAACCACGGCCTCCGTGACTAACCTATGACGGGCCGCTGCCGGAACTAATCGAAGAGGCCACACTTCAGCAGTACTGCTGTGGCAGATGACGCGGCACGCCGAGAATGACGTCACCGTGTTCGCTCGGCGTCTCAAGAAGCCCGGCGGCCACACAGCCACTGTTTTATCAGCAAAACGTGCCATTGGCGTTCACGTTTGAGAACTCTCACCTCACTTTTCTAATTCAGCAGGGATCATCAAACTGTCCTCACACGCTCCCAAGTCATTTTTTTTAGAAAAGTGCTTCAGCTTCCTTTTAAAGGCTTTCGCCTTAATACGTTTCAGCCGCGATAGCCTGCGTACATCTCCGTCAAGGTGGGCTCACCTTGAAGCGTGCCTTACTTCTTGCTTTCAGCCAGATCAGAACGAGTCCTAGAAGTAGGGACAGTACGCTGGTAGTTATGAAGCCACACTTGAACACCAGACCAAGGAGACTCAGTGGTAGAGCGCTCTCCACAGCTGTCGGAATCGAGAAATAATGAGGTGAAGTGTATCTCACCGCTCGTAAATATTATACGCAGTGTCATCTGCTCAATCACAGGCATTTATTAGCCATAGGTGTGATCTGAATTCGCAACCTTTGAATGAATGTCACTTCGAATCCCACTGAAGGAATAAGCGAATCTTCTAGACTTCTTGCAGGCAACACGACTGAGCGACCACCTGTAAAACCCTGCACCGTGTGTGTGTGTGGTGCGCTATGTGCATCTCTCTCTCTCTTTTACTCCATAACTATCCTCTCCCCACATGCAGGTTAACAAATTGGACGTAACCTAGTTAATTTCTCTGCCTTTATTATATTCCTAATCTCTCTCTTGTACAGTCTTCAATTTAATTGAGAATGATTACACTAAGCATAAGAACCCAAAAAGAATGTTCTCTATGCATTCCGTGGCTTGAGTTTTAAACGCCTTCCACTCGTTAAGCAAAAAAAAAAAGAATAATACTTCAGCTTTCGCTTTACTCTGACAAGCATAACAAACCATGTTGAGATGCAATGACGCCCCTGAGCTGTTTTTCGAGTCTCAAGAGGTGAAAATAAGCGGATCGTGGCCACTCACGATGGCATTGTCCGCCGACGTAGGCTCCGGGCGGACACGGGTCGCAGTACGCAGAGCCGGCCTTGAGGTTGTACGAGTTCGGTGGACAGGGCAGGCACACGCCATGTCCGTACGTGCTCGCTGGACAGAGCTCTGTTTAACAGAGAAAAGCCACTCATTAAAACGTTAAACTAAAACACTGAACAAAAGAACAGTCTGCAGACACAAAACTATATTGTAGAGGACAAGGTATAACTATAACGCTGAACATCTGAATTCGCGATAATCCTTGTGCGGCATTCCAAAAGCAAAGAACTGAATGAAAACACAGATTATAACATCAAATGAAATTACGTTTTGATTCGCTTTTAGAGACGAAATTGAAATTCGCATAAGATGACTGGAACGCAACATCCATCATTTTATTCTGTTTCTCAGTAGATTTTATTATTCCCCTCTGAAATCTGTCTGCACCTAACGAGGTTATACGCAGTCTCTGTGATCGCAGGCGTTGCAAGCTATCTACACCTGACAAACTTTTCCAATGCCTCCATGATCAGACCACCTTTCCCAAACCACGATTTCATGTCGTGATAGCAAGAAATTTTGCGGACTTGTGGCGTCATTATGCCATCATATGACAATGTCGTTACGAGATGACTATTTTTTGCATAAAGTGTGTTGATGCCGACAGGTAATTATACCTGCAAACATTTTTAATCTCATAGGCCTACCTAGCTTTCTGTCTCACCTTCGTGCGTTTGCCTTTTTTGGTAATCGGTAGACCATGCGAAATACTGGTGATTGCCCATGAGTCATGTGCAATATATAGTTTCCGAGGGTTTGAAAAAACTTCACATGCTAAGAAATGGCATTATGTGTTGTACTTCTAAAACTTAGCTTGTGGCTTACACGACATTAGTTAGACCGTTATTAGAACATGCAGACGTAGTTTGGGACCCGCACACAAAATTTGACATACACTGCATTGAACGCGTTCAAAAAAAAAAAGCGCCAAGATCCATTCTCAACGCTTACGGCAGGCATGTGTACATTATTAACCTCAGACATCTAAGCAAACTTCTAGCTCTAGAATGATGCAGAAAACTGCACCGACTGCAAATGCTTTGCAATATTGTATACCGCAACGTAAGAATAGGCTGCACTGGTTGCATGCCGTATAACAACGCAAGGCCAATGAGATGAAATCACAGTAAGACGATTGTAAGTACCGTAAGTATTGTAAGTACCGCACAGTAAGTACTTGGGCTCAGTCGTGCACTGCTTGATTTTTCCTTCTCTCGACTGCGATTGTAGATATCTTGAGTAATCAGATGCGCAGGGACATTAACGTCGCCTTCTTTTACGGGGCAATAGCTATGCAAACGATAAACGAGCAGACGGAAATTCAGTGCCGGGTATAAGGTGAGCGCTGGTTTAAACGTTCGTTAGCCTTGAGTTACTTGCCCCGCCGCGGTAGTCTAGTGGCTAAGGTACTCGGCTGCTGACCCGCAGGTCGCGGGCTCGATTCCCGGCTGCGGCGGCTGCATTTCCGATGGAGGCGGAAATGTTGTAGGCCCGTGTACACAGATTTGGGTGCACGTTAAAGAACCCCAGGTGGTCAAAATTTCCGGAGCCCTCCACTACGGCGTCTCTCATAATCAAATGGTGGTTTTGGGACGTTAAACCCCACAAATCAATTAATCAATCAAATCAATCAGCCTTGAGCTACTTTTCGGTCACCGGTCGCTAATGGCGGTGCGACCGCTGCTAGTCGCTTTAAGTCACGCCGCATTTCTTCCATACCTGTTGCAACACTTGGAAATTGCCAAATCAGCGATATAAGATGTGCAAGTAACGGATACCAACCGCAAGATGATCCTTTTCTGCCGTATCCCGGTGGGCACGTCCTCTCCATCTTGTTCTTACTCTTGATCACCTTCTTCTGTGGCTCACGTGGGAATGATAATGGTGATGATTAATCCTCAATTATGGCTTATACCGACTTTGGGGATCATCCAAGAATAGATCATTTGAGTTAGAGAGACATTTTCAGCATTAAATAATGATGACCAAGCAAAAAATAACATACGGAAAATGAAAAAAATTACGGCATATTCACGGGGTGAATGATGATGAATGGGCGAAGCTCCGGAGGGATTCATCGGTAAACTGTGAATCTTCCGTGTAATTCGCCCAGTCGATCATCATGTAAAGACGTGAGAAACGCTGTGTGTGTATATACACAAATCAACTTTTATTTGTTCTTAGACGATGGATGGCTTGCGATGTTCCTTGCCTCGCGCGCTCGCACATCGGGATTCTGTCTGCGAGCGCGCGCTGCTGCCGCCTTGCGCTCTCTCCGCTGTGCAGCCTTATCCATCCGGCGACTCCGAGCGCGCGCCAACAGCGAACGGATTTTATTACAACGCTCCCCTAGCGTACGTCACCGCACTAAATCGAACGATTGCCTTCAACCAATGACACGCGCCATATGTGACATCATTCCTATTTTATAAGATCTCGCGTCTTTCATCAACTACAAGTACCGCTTTCTAGTTTATAACATCTTGCATCTTTTCATCATCAGCTACAAGTACCACCATCTAGTAAACACTACAAGAACTAAACGAGAGGTGGCTACATACAGGAGACGGTACCGCCATCTAGTGAACACTGCAAGAACTAAACTAGAGGTGGCTACATACAGGGGACGGTACCGCCATCTAGTGAACACTGCAAGAACTAAACTAGAGGTGGCTACATACAGGCTACAGGGGACGCACAGCCCACGCCCTAAGGAGCCTCGCCCCTAAAAGTGCAATAATTGTTTTTCTTCCGTACCGAGCACGCAGTGCAGTCGTTATTTTGCCCTTGAAATAATTAAAAAAATATTTCTTTATTTTAAAGTACTACTGCAATAACGATACACAAATAGCCATTAGAATCTCACTCGCGGAAATGTCTTCTTCAAGCGGTAAAAAAGATTTTAAAGAATAAAACATGCTGAAATATCTTCTTCGTCATTGTCGTCTGCTCCATCGCTTGAAGTGTCCACAAACGAATGAAGTAGGTACGACTTCTTTGCTGTTTTATTCTAAGAGAACTACCGTCCCGCATCCTTCCTGACTCTTTCCCAATGACGTCTCTCACTGTTCAGACTCTGTTGGTGAATAACGCAATACCGATGTATAGCTCCCATTTCGTTGCGCATCTTGATGATGATGGTGTCCAGTCTGTTATGGTGCTCATCTAAATAGGGAAATGGGGAGCCTTCATGCGCGCATCAAGGACTCCCTGTAATTAAGGGGATGGTCCAAGAACCTGGTGCCAGATCTTTATAGTGATCACTTCCCATCATCCCCATAAATGTGTTTGTCGGTTGAGGAATCTCCCAAACCCACTCTAAGGCTCGATGTGAAGTCATTTGGCCAGCGGGCAAAACTATCGCAGATCTAAGCCAATTTTTTCTAACTGCGTGGTACAGGAAGCTGCAATGTTAGATAAATGAAGCTGTCCACATCTAACATGTTTTTAATGTATGAGCGTTCACCTATTATTTTCAAAGAGGAGGAGGAATAAACTTTATTATAGGAAACCAGCAGGTTTAGGTGGCCTGGCCAGGCCGCCCATAAGGGGACGTCAAGAGCTTGCCTATACGCCACCTCACGGGCGTGTTGGGTCGCCCAGGTTAGGTCGTCAACAGCGGGGCTCCGCAGAACCTCATGGAGCTTCGACGAAAGGGTCGTGGCGGTAGTGCGTCTGTACTGTGCCGGGCAATCCCACAGCATACGCGGAAGCGTAGCCCAGCTGAGTGAAATAAGATGCCTATTGGAAAGTAGTGCGAACATCTTAATAAGGTGTTGGGGATTATTTTAATTGTATCGCAGTCGGTTTAAGATGTATGTACGCAGTCTTTAATTATTATTTTTTTCTCAGGTGCAGATTTTTGCATTGAATCTTTCATATATTGGAGTTTTTTGCTAATAACTTGAGCTGCTAGCACTGTGTCTCGTGTCTTCCTTTTTTTTTTCCTGTACAAGACAACAACACACCACGCTGCATAGGCCACAAGGGAACGAAAGAACGAACTGAACACAGCATCAGTGATATCACACACGAAGCTGCGATGAGATTCACAGAGGCTGCATATTGAACAGGTTGTTTTGCCTGTTTGCCACAAGAGTTATTGACGTCCTGGCCAGCAACATCAGCAGCCATACACAATTTTAGGAGCAAAGCTCCTTAAGGCGTGGGCTGTGCGTCCCCTGTATGTAGCCACCTCTCGTTCAGTTCTAAGTATTACGCTAGCCACCGCCCGATCTAAAGGGTACAGCCATATCCATCCGTCCATCCGTCCATCCGTCCGTCCATCCATCCATCCATCCATCCGTCCATCCGTCCGTCCATCCGTCCGTCCGTACGTCCGTCCGTACGTCCGTCCATCCGTCCATCCGTCCGTCCATCCATCCATCCATCCATCCATCCATCCATCCATCCGTCCGTCCGTCCGTCCGTCCGTCCGTCCATCCGTCCGTCCATCCATCCGTCCATCCGTCCGTCCATCCGTCCGTCCGTCCGTCCGTCCGTCCGTCCAAAAGATGCAAGATGTTATAAACTAGACGGCTGTACGTGTAGTTGATTATGAAAGATGCGAGGTGTTATAAAATAGGAATGATGCCACATATGGCGCGTGTCATCGTTCGATATAGTGCGGCGACGTACGCTAGGGGGAGCGTTGCAATAAAATCGAGTGGGCAAAATGTACGGAGGATTCATGGTTTACCAGGTTTACCTCCGGAGCTTCGCCCACTCATCATCATTCACTTCGTGGATATGGCGGCATTTTTGTTAGAGTCACTGCAAATGGTAGCTTTAAAATGCACATTGCGCATCTGTCCTCCGAATGCTGCTAACAAGGATTCTTTACGGAGACTCTGACGCTCGGGTCAATTTTTGTATTTCTTAGCACCGCCGCGAAATCGAACTGGACAGGCGCTCTTTATAGACAAAAAGGTTAATCTAATCCATGGTCCGCTACATGCCATACATGTCGATCGATAACACAATAGGCGCGTCGCCTGCATAAATGGAAGGCGGCTTCACCTCATAGATGTGGTTGCTAGCCAGCCCTGCGCACAACTGTGGTACCTAAAAGTAACATATACAGAGTAAGTCTCACTTTTTAAGGCTGTAGCGCCATCTCTTTGAGACTTGAAGAAGTGAAAACATCAGTCTATCTGCGCGTTAAACGGAGGCGCCACGGGTTCTAAGGAGACACGAAGTCAACCGACTGGCAGCCCGTTAAAAAAACCACTGCGAATATTTAGAACTTTGTAATAATGTAAAGGCGAATGCTTTTTGTGTCCCATATGATTTCTTAGTAGTACATCACAGGTAAATCTGAGGCTGGTGTTTATGGGAGCAGCAACGCACGAAGCTTCGTCAGCATGAGAATGATGATGTGATAATGAATTTGCCTAAGAATCATTCCTTCGGCTAAAAGTGCGGTTCAATAAAACTTTTTCTGCAAGTTGGTTCATTTTTGGATGTTGGCGCACTTATAACACACTCTGTGTAATCACACTCTGTTGCAATCTATAGAGTGTAGTACTGCGATGATTGTTAATACCTACCACGTGACTGATGGGTGTATTTATTTACTAAGGATAAAACTAAAGTTAGTTATAAGTTTGCACTCGTCCGTGTCTGTCTTGTCTTTGTGTTCTAAGAGCGCAACAATTGTTACCTTCCAAGGCTACGTGTGACCTGCGGCTGCCCTGCCGCAGCGCTAAGTTCAGAAAAGTTCAGCCTGGTTTCTTCACCACATTGGCCCATTTAGGCGTACTAATTTGTGTCAGTTCATGAAGTTCCCAAATATTTCTTTCTTTGCCCGAAACAAAACACGGATTACAAGAATAACCAATGCCCCAAGTCCGTTTCGAAGGCGCAAGCTCAAAGAGCATGCAAATCCATGTAGCCCCCACCGCTCCAATATAGTGGCTGAAATATCGCAGCGTTTATAGTCCCATCTAGTAAATACTGTGGAAAACAATATGTTGGGACCTTCAGCAAATGTTTGCGGTAACCACCACACTCACCACAAATACTTCATCCACAGAACACTTGCGTTGCATCGATGCCGCAAGCTGTTCTCATCGGGCCACTACTGCAGCTTCATGCGTATAGCCGCTTCCACCCGATGGTGACTACGACTACTACGACTAGCGGCATTTCGAGCTGCTGCAGTCTTTTCTCTCGACGTGTTCCTTCTCAAACCTCTTCGCGAGCGAACAGCCCCTGGTCACGTGATAATTTTGGTATGTGGGGTTTAACGTCCCAAAACCACTATATGATTATGAGAGAAGCCGTGATAATTTTATTTTGTTTGTTCAGATGAAGTCAACACGAAGCTCGCGTGCTCATCTGATAATTTCTGCGCTTCGCAAAGTGAACTTCGAGCATAAAGATGGAAATTTTTCACCTTAGAAGTGTTTGGTTTACATCTAGCGTATAAGTTGAGACTTATTACTACAACGAAACGAGAATGTTAAAAAAAAATCTGGCGTTTTCCCTATTTGTAATGCATTATAGCAGTATCGAAATGGCCTAGTTTAATTGCCGTTAATTAGTCACTCCACGTAGATTTTTTACTCTTATTTAGCCGCGTGACGTTGTTCATTCATGTTTTATGTTTTACTTTTTTTATTCTTTTTGTCACAAAGCTCTACCTTTACCGAGGTCTAGAGCTCTTCATGAGCTTTTCCGAAAATGTGAATGAATGAATGAAATAATAATTAATAGCCCCGCCGCGGTGGTCTAGTGGCTAAGGTACTCGGCTGCTGACCCGCAGGTCGCGGGTTCGATTCCCGGCTGCGGCGGCTGCATTTCCGATGGAGGCGGAAATGTTGTAGGCCCATGTACTCAGATTTGGGTGCACGTTAA